AACTAATGTGGCAGCTATTGAATTATCAACATAGTGCCAAAAAAGAAACACCTTCTGAAAGGCATGCCTTGCAAATTTAATCTTATTAACTGACAAAATCGTAAGTAATAAGTAGAGCAAAGCAAAAATAAATGTTGAATAGTTGCATTTGAGAGTGAATTTAAGGCACTCACAATCCAGTATTTGTATGAAAGAACATGATAATAAAGAAAACCATGTTTCCTTAATGAAACTGGTATTCTTTGAACATGTTACTGAGAAGATTTAAATAAAAACTCATATTTTAAATATACTTTTAAAGTCATCTATAATTACACAGGAGAACAAAGCACTGTAGAAGCCAGCATTCTGTCTTAGAAACAAAATGTCTGCCACATCATTGCTTAGAACTTAACATAATTAATGCCTATGACCTCAATTCTGCATAGTATTTAAATGTATTAATCATTGAACTTCCTCCCAAACCTTTATTCTCCATCTCATTTTGTAGTACAACTATCTGTTCATCATCCCGAGTAATAAACCTAGACCTCAGGATCCTTGACTTTTCTCCCTCAACTTCTGTAACTTATTTCCAAAGTATTTTTCAAATTCAACCGCTCCTTTGTATCTTCATCCCATCGATCCTCCATTAGCATCCCAGCTGCTCCTCGGCATCGAGTTTTGTACCCCCTAATTCCACCTTCCTCCATTTCACATTACATTGAATGGAATGGATCTTGGCTCACTGCAACCTCAGCCTCCTGGGTTCAAGCGATTCTCCTGCCTCAGCCTCTGGAGTAGCTGGGATTACAGGCTCATGCCACCACGCCGGGCTAATGTTTGTATTTTTAGTAGAGATGGGGTTTCACTATGTTGGCCAGACTGGTCTCAAACTCCTGACCTCAGGTGATCTGCCCACCTCAGTCTCCCACAGTGCTAGCTTACAGGTGTTAGATTACAGGTGTTAGCCACCTTGCCTGGCCTAGAAAATTGAATTTCTAACTCTAGAGTTCCTCCACTTTCCCACTGGTGTGTCATGTTGGGTAAACCATCTGATTAACTCAGTATCTTCTTTGGCAAAATTATTTAATATGAGGATTATGTTAATTTCTTATCACAAGTTCTATTAATGTTAAACTTTTTAAATAAAATTTACTCCCTTTTACATTTAGTTTCTCAATATTCTTATTAAATATTATTTTCTTTATTATAGGTGAAAAAGGAGTTCATATTATTTTATTTTATTTTTTGAGACGGAGTCTGGCTCTGTTGCCCAGGCTGGAGTGCAGTGCCATGATCTCAGCTCACTGCAACCTCTGCCTCCCAGGTTCAAGCGATTCTCCTGATTCTCCTGCCTCAGTCTCCCAAGTAGCTGGTGTTACAGGTACGTGCCACTATGCCTAGCTAATTTTTTTGTATTTTTAGTAGAGACAGGGTTTCACCATGTTGGCCAGGCTGATCTTGAACTCCTGACCTTGTGATCTGCCCACCTGGGCCTCCCAAAGTGCCGGGATGACAGGCGTGAGCCAATGTGCCCCGCCTTCATATTACTTTTAATAGTACCTAGTCATATTCTATGCGTTGATACACAATTATACGTATATGTGTCTGATACAAGACCATGAAAACCTGGACTACAGAATATTTAGGAAAAGCCCAGCTCAATGCCCTCACCAAAACAATGCCTAACTAGGAAACTGTTGCTGTGTGTTGGACACCCTGCTTGGTGGGTCATACCACTAAATCCTCATCACATCACTGTAAGGGAGGTACATTCTATTTATAGAAAGAAACCAAGTATTAGAGAGGTTAGGTGACTCATGCAAGGTCATAAACTGCTAAGAAGCTGAGCTGAAATCTTAACTTTTTCTGGCCCCAAAGACATCTTCCTATGACGTGGTTTCCTAACTGAGCATCTAAAACTTGCAAGGCATTATCTTTCACAAAAATGGCAAGGGTTGCACAGGTAAGAGTTCAGACTGCGGCCCTGAATGATCATAAAAAGATTAGCTCTGCCAAGATGCAATCCAAATAAAAATAAGAGCTGTGTTTAAGAATTCTAAATATTAGAATTGTCATGTCAATCATCTGTAGTTGTGCCAAGTGCTGGGAATGGAGGAGGTAAAATACTATCACCTCCACATCCACGGATCTGTCTGCTTGGAGCCTCCTAAATTAAAAATGCAATAAACGCCTTCTTTGACTTATGTTAGTCTAACATTTTTTTCTGGTTGTGTTTAGAAACCTCACAAGGGAGATCTTTGCTCTCCCACGCAGAGTTACAGTTTTGCTGAAACTTCTTCAATATAAAAGAACGCTACCCTTTGCAGCTCCTCTGGGCTTCCTCATCACCTTTGATGACTGCCTGTTTGCAGCAGGCCAGCAGGTACGTCTCTGCACGCGTCTGCTCAGAAAATTTAATTTACTACAATGAAGGTTACCTGAGGAACCCTAACTCTCTTTCACTGCATGAAGCAAAAGGAGTTTGTGTCCCTCTGCCAGGAGCGAGAAAACTAAAAACAGAAGAATTGCCAGCCGCAGTCCCTGGCAGCAGCTCCAGGGACTCCGGGTACCCCTTTCTGTTTGATTCTCTCACTTTTATTTCTAATTTAAGCTTTCTTCTTTTCATTCTGGCTCCCTTTTTATGCTTTCTTCTCATTCTTAATCCATAGAAATATATCAGTGGTCGTAGTACCTATAAAGTGTCGATAAACTTGTGATCCGCTTTCACACTCAGCGTTCTTTCGTGAACACTTTTCCTTTAACGTGATTCTCTTGTTGTATTAATAATTATGTCATATCTATTGCATTCACACGCCTCTTACCTTTTCTTATCCCCTTCCTTTTTACATGCTCGAAACTCTGCTGCATGTTCCATTTGCCCTGCTGGCAGGTGGTGGAAAATTCTAGTGTAACTTTGCTCTAGCTGTGTTTGAAAGCTGATTTTAACTACCCCTGAATGAAGTACACCTATTTCTATTCACAAGCTACTGGGGGGCATTTTGAAAAGGATCCGTGGTATGTAATGTGGCAAACATAAAACCATGACAATCTTCACCTTAAACACTATTTGGCTACTCACCGACAGTTCCTATTTTTTGCCCACAAAATGATACTAGGCAGAGGCTGATAAGGGCTATGGTTCATTTCGTCTGGTCAGATATAGAAAATGTGAGCTATGTGTTATGTCAGTTATTTTAAAAGCTTTTGCCATTTCTCAAACTTTCCCTCTGCTTTCAGGATGCTCATGACATAATTCAACTCTAGTTTTTCTTAATCTGCGGAAATGCTTCTGGTTTCAATTCTTGAATAATTTTCTTCGTTAAATGAAACTGTATATTTATTTGTACAACTTGCCTGGAAACAGAAGGCCAAACAAGAATAAACTGGACCTTGTGATAAGCATTTTATCTCCTTCTCTCATCATGAACCAGTATTTCCTGTGTTTCTGTGTGCCATGCAATGCTATCTAATAATGCTCTCACGTTTCGCCTGATATTGTGAGTAAACCCAAGACACAAGTTGTTCTATTCTTACCGCAATGAAATATAAGCCAACAAAATGAGCAGTGACATTGTAGTTGAAGCTCTGCAATCTCTAATCCATGAAGACAGGTTTCTAGAGGGGAAAAAATGGCCAACTCACACACCAGGCATATAATTTATTTCTTATTGTATTTTGTTTTATTTCCCAGGACTAACCCTCAACCCTGTAATAAACACATTATGTAATTTCCCACAACCCCTACCCTCAAGTGAAAAGTAGATACAGTAATATAAAGAACTAGAAACACAAGTTGCATTGAAAAAGTTTCCCATCGCCCCATTTAACTGTTCCAAAACGAAAGCATTAGAAAATAAGAGTGTGATACTATTTGATTTTTCTTTTTCTTTTTTTTTTTTTTTTTTTTTTTTTTTTTGAGATGGAGTCTTGCTTTGTCACCCAGGCTGGGGTGCAATGGCATGATCTTAGCTCACTGCAACCTCTGCCTCCTTGGTTCAAAGGATTCTCTAGCCTCAGCCTCCTGAGTAGCTGAGATTCCAGGCGTGTATCACCACACCTGGCTAATTTTTGTATTTTTAGTAGAGACACAGTTTTGCCATGTTACTAATTTTTGTATTTTTAGAGACAGGGTTTCATCATGTTATTCCTGAGCTCAAAGTGATCTGCCCACCTTCACCTCCCAAAGTGCTGGGATTACAGGTGTGAGCCACCACGCCCTGCCTACTTGATTTTTCAAGGTAAAATCGTCACTTTCATAGGAGCGTGAAATGAACACAGTAAGGATTTTATTTAACTCAATAATAGAGGAGGAAAACAGTAAAATGTTAAAACCAGTTCAAAAAGAATTTAAATAATAGATATATATGTAGGCAACCAGTAATGCCAACATGAATTTACTAACAGACACAAGATGAATTAATGTACAACAGGGAAATGAAATGCAGTATTTGGATCCTTTTATCTATAAGGTAGGAATCAGCTACATTTCTGCCGAACAAAGTTCACTTGCTTTGCTACCAACAAGAATCATTTGCACTAATATCTTAACTTCCACCTCTGAAGGCTTTTAAAATGGCCTAGTCCATAGAAAGGCAAGGAAATGTTCAAAGTCCTATAAAATCAGTGCCCAGAGGGTTAGCTAGACCTACACTGTTCAATACTATAGCCACTACTTACCTATGGCCATTTAAAGTTAAATTAATTAGGCCGGGCACGGTGGCTCACACCTGTAATCCCAATACTTTGGAAGGTTGAGGCAGGCGGATCACCAGAGCTCAGGAGTTCGAGACCAGCCTGACCAACATAGTGAAACCCTGTCTCTACTAAAAATAAGAAAAATTAGCTGGGTGTGGTGGCATGTGCCTGTAATCCCAGCTACTCAGGAAGCTGAGGCAAGAGAATCATTGAACCTGAGAGGCGGAGGTCTCAGTGAGTCGAGATCATGCCACTGCACTCCAGCCTGGGTGACAGAGTGAGACTCAGTCTCAAAGTAAATAAAATAAAATAAAGTTAAATTAATTAAAATCAAATAAAATGAAAACATTAGGCTCTGCAGATGCTGCCGCAACTGGGCACCTCATCCTGCCAGCCATGGTCAACCCCACCATGTTCTTCGACATCACCGTCCAAGGTGAGCCCTTGAGCCCTGTCTCCTTCGAGCTGTTTGCAGACAAGTTTCCAAAGACAGAAGAAAACTTTCGTCTTCTGAGCACTGGAGAGAAAGGATTTGGTTATAGAAGCTCCCGCTTTCACAGAATTATTCCAGGGTTTATGTGTCGGGGTGGTGACTTCACACGCCATAATAGCACTGGTGGCAAGTCCATCTACTGGGAGAAATTTGATGACAAGAACTTCATCCTGAAGCGGACAGGTCCTGGCATCTTGTCCAGGGCAAATGCTGGACCCAGTACAAATGGTTCCCAGTTTTTCACCTACACTGCCATGACTGAGTGGTTTGGCAAGGTGAAAGAAGGCGTGATTATTGTGGAGGCCGTGGAGTGCTTTGGGTCCAGGAAAGGGAAGACCAGTAAGAAAATCGCTGTTGCTGACTGTGGGCAACCCTCATATGTTTGATTTGTGTTTGTCTTAACCAGCAGACCATTCCTTCTGGAGCTCCAGAGAGCGCCCCTCCACCCCATTTGCTTGCAGTATCCTAGAATCTTAGTACTCTCACTGCAGTTCCCTTTAGGTTCCATGTTTTCCTTATTCCCTTCCATGCCTAGCTGGATTGCAGAGTTAAGTTTATAATTATGAAATAAAAACTAAATAACAATTTGTCAAAAAAGAAAATCAGTTCCTCAGTGACAGTAACCACATTTCAAATGCTCAAAAGCCACTTGTGTCTAGTGGCTACTGTACCTTTCTGAGATTACAGAAAGTTCTACTGAACAGCACTGCATAAAACAATAGCCAATATTCCATTAAAAGGATACCCAGTAAGCTCCTCTGCCCATTTCCAAGTCTTTGATTATTTTTCCTGATGAAACAAAATAAGCAATGGCAATGATGACATAGAGCAGGGACTCTGAAAGAATAATGGCTAGTATTTATTGAGTACCAATGATATGCCAGGCATTGTATCAGTTTACCTGAATTACCTAAGTGGGTTTTCGCAATTTATGTATATTATCGAATTGAATCCTCACAATAACTTGGCCCCATTTATTAGTTTAGGAGAGGCTCAAAGGGATTAAAGTAACTTGAGGCTTCATAATCTAGACATTATTTAATGAAGCCTCACAGTAACTATATTTATTAGTTGGTGACTCAGATACTCAGAGATTTAAATACTTTGCTCAAAACCATACAACTATTAAGGGCTTTGAACTAGTATTTGATCTCACGTAGGGTACAGATAACAAATATAACTAATAAAAAGACACATAGAAACCTGACCTACCCAGGTCGACTTAAGCCACTTTTTCCCACTAGAGTACAGCATGGTGGTCTGGCTACTGCAGGAGAATGTGAGAAGTGTTAATCCCAGCCTTCTGTCTTTTTTAAAAAAATTATTATTTCCATAGGTTTTTGAGGAACAGGTGGTAGTTGGTTATATGAGTAGGTTCTTTAGTGGTGATTTGCAAGATTTTGGTGCATCCATCACCCAAGTAGTATACACTGCACCCAATTTGTAGTATTTTATCCCTTACCCACTTCCTGCCCTTTCCCCTTGAGTCCCCAAAGTCCATCGTCTCATTCTTACGCCTTCGCATCCTCATAGCTTAGCTCCCACTTATGAGTGAGAACATACGATGTTTGGTTTTTCATTTCTGAGTTACTTTACTTAGAATAATAGTCTCCAATCTCATCCAAGTTGCTGCAAATGCCATTAATTCATTCCTTTTTTATGGCTGAGTAGTATTCCATTGGATAGATATACCACAGTTTCTTTATCCACTCATTGATAGATGGGCATTTGGATTGATTCCACATTTTTGCAATTACGAATTGTCCAGTCTCTCTTATGTCCAAGACTGTTGCTGAACCAACCCCAGGATACACTGTGTTCAACCGACCGCATTGTAACATTTACACCATTGTGGTATATTTCTCATGAAGTGTCTCTCTCTCCAATTAGACCTTGAATTACTCCAAGGTAGAATCAAAGAAAAACCCAGTGACTTCTATCATACTGCCTAGTACATAGCTTTTCAGTAATGTATGTGATGGGTTCTGGACACACTACCCCAGTGTATGGGACCCTGGCATACTGAGTGTCTTAAGCTGAAGAAAGCTGAGAAAACTGCAGAAGCCGGAAGAGTGCTCTGATCTTGTCTTGCCCCTACTGTCCTGAAGCAGGTCATAAAACCCGTTGACCTTTCCTTGAAGTAGGTCATTTTCCTCCCTATACCCACAGGGAAAGGATGTTCTTATTCTCAAAGACACAATGACACCCAGACAAATCAGAACAAACAGGGCTAAGTTCCCCCCAGTTTATTACCAGTAGACCACGCCTTTTGTCCTCTCATCATACTTCTGCATGACTGTCCATAAAAATACACTTCTCCTCTTTCCTTTGGGTCTTCCTTTTTAAGGAAGCCTGTGTGATTAAAACAATAGATAAAGTTGTACACTTTTCTCTTTTAATCTTTCTTTTGTTATCAGGAATCTCAGCCATGACTCTTGTAATGGGTGAGAAATCTTTTTCTCTGCTACATTTGCTAATAATATAATCTCTTCTATTTTTATATGCCTGCCCCCTGACATCACCCCATCTTCTCCCAAGTTGCCCCGCACTAATATTAAAGAGTCACAGATGGCTGGTGTAAGAGTTAAAAATAAGTATCTTTTTTGCAACCCTAGGTTCATGGCTGAGGCCCCTATAACAAAAGGCAGATTAACAAGAAAAAAGCATACAGATTGATTTAAGTACTACACGACATGGGAGTCTGCATAAGGAAAGGAAGACCCAAAATAAACAGGTAATCATGCATTTTGGTGCTTATGTTGGATAAAGAGTAGACAGTTGTGGAGAAATATGATTGGACCAAAAGTGTGTGACCTAATGGTGATAAACTGGGAGAAAGTTAGTGAGACCTGTTTGTTCAGATTTTTCTCTATGTCATTGTGTTTTCAGAGATAAAGGCACCGGGTGCGGTGGCTCATGCCTGTAATCCCAGCACTTTGGGAGGTCAAGACAGGTGGATCACGAGGTCAGAAGTGCGAGAGCAACCTGGCAAATATGGTGAAATCCCGTCTCTACTAAAAATACAAAACTTAGCCAGGAGTGGTGTTGCATGCCTGTACTCCCAGCTACTTGGGAGGCTGAAGCAGGAGAATCACTTGAATCTGGGAGACAGAGGTTGCAGTGAGCTGAGAATGCACCACTGACTCCAGCCTGGGTGACAAAATGAGACTCTGTCTCAAAAAAAAAAAAAAAAAAAAAAAAGAGAAAGAGAGAGAAAGACATTTCTTTTCTTTCCTCCAGGTGTAGATGGTCACCTCTAGCATGAAGATCTTATGACTTGCTTCAGGGCTGAAGGGCGGGAGAAAAGTTAGAATGACTTTCCTAGGTTTTATAGTTTGCTTCAGCTTCAGGTAAGAAGGGTGAGGGAAAGGTGAGACAGGTCCTTCTGCTCCTGCTGTTTTCTCAAATGCCAAGGTGCTATATTTTGAGGTGGCATGTCCTGAACTTTATCACTGGACAATTGGCTAGGTGTATAATCCTTGCTTCTACTACCGTTTTACTTCTGCAACTACTGGACAATATGGTAGCATCAAATGATGGACAGGCATCAAATAGACCACCTCCATCATCACAGGTCACAAAGCTGTGCGATTTGGAGGAAATTATTTAAGTTCTTAGGGTTTAGTTTTTGTTTGTAAGCTATGGACAAAAATCAAACCTATAAACTTTATTGAAGAATTTAATGAGACAATACATGTAAAAAAGCTTAATACAATGTCAGTTACATAGATCCAAGAGACATTATCTATTAATGTTGTTATTCTGAGTCAAATAATGGATATTATAATTTCATAATTTCTTTCAATATTTGTATTCATATAACTTTTTTTAAAGGATTGACATGAAAAACTTATTTTGAAGAGTTTTAAAGAAAGAAAATGTAAAAGGATTGATGAGACAGTACTATTGTGACCATCCACCTTAACACATTTTCTCAGATAAATGTACACGTCTAAACTGGCCCACACTGGCTATCTCAGTGGAAAACAAGACTGACCGATATCTGTGACATACCAGAAGCAACGTGATTACATAAGAATTCTGCTGAAAAACTGAGCTGAGTAATTTGTGGCTTAAAAACACCTGACTTTTTGAGCATTTTAACTTACGTTTTAACTTCTTTTTTTAATGAGGACAATGTGGAGGTTTGCTTTGTTTGCTTTCACCAGAATGGAAATGACTTATTTTTTTTTTTCTCCATAGATGCTGTTGCTTAGACAGAAGTGAGGGGGAGAAAAACAGGGCAAGAGATGAAATGAGAAGGCAATCAAATCAGCAGCTGAGCTTCAGGAAACTATTTCAAGTATTGAGCAAAGCAGTGGAAGAGATGGGAGGGGAGAAACATTCTTGGAAATTTGATAAGAGGGGGACGCTTGCCTCAGGAGGTAAATACAAGAGTGCGTGTACAGTACTCGGCTTTCTCATACGCGCACGTGGTTAGGCTGAGGATTTCCAGGGCCCTTTCTAAAATGAAGTAGTCTCCTGAAGCAGTTGGGCTGAAGCACAGGTCCCCAACCCTTGAAACCTGAGCAGGCCTAGTGGCAGAGCCCAAGGATGAAATCCTAGCATGCTTATCAGCTGCACAACCTCACCCTTAGCAAATTCTGTGTTTGCTAAACACCTTGTTCCTGTATATACAGCTCTGAAAGGGAATGCCCTCTCATTTTCAACATTCTGGGGCTAATGTTCTGCATCAGTCAGGGCTGTCATCATGGATCCCACATTCTTCCTTTTAAATCCATGAGTTTCCCTTTTTCATGATGTGAGCGAATTGAAACCTGCGTGCTAGTGCTTGCAAAACGTACCATGCTACAGAGAAGCTTTCTGACTGTCCTAGTCCTGTTATAATCATTGGTTTTGCAAGAGTAATTCAGGAAATGTTCATATATCTAATTCCCACATGCACCATGAGACACGGGAGGATTCTGCAGGTAGATATTTAATATACAAATAGTCCAAAGGAGCTGTTCAAATGCATTTATTTTGAGGATCCAACTAGTTAATACGTGAGGACCGTTGCCAAGAAACATTGTAGTATTCTTTTTCTCTCTAGAAATGCCTAAGATAATTGTCTTTTAAAGGTAAGAAGATACTTGAAACCAGATCCGCCTGCATTCCAAGCCCTACAGGTAGTCTGAGAGGTTTACGATAATGAAACCCTCCTTTAGTCATTTACATTTCTTTAGCGGTTATTTATGCAAATGCACAGATTTTTCACTACCTAGAAACAGATTCACGGATGAGTGAATCTCCTCCTCCTAAAGAAAACATTTCAGCCCTTCTAGCCGGGAAGTCTCCAAAATAGTATTTGTTGGGTTGGGCCAGGCGCAGTGGCTCACGCCTGTAATCCCAGCACTTTGGGAGGCTGAGGCGGGTGGATCACGAG